TCACCTCAGCCTCCCAAAGGCGCGGAATTACAGGCTGAGCCACCGAGCCCGGCTTCTCTTACTCTTAAGTATGTGGTCAGAGGAAGCTTTAGGAGGAATACAATTTAAAGTAGTGCAGGGAAGACTTAAGAAAGAGCAAGCTGGGCTCGGTGGCTCAGCCTGTAATCCTGGCCTTTGGGAGGCCGAGGTGAGTGAATTGCCTGAGCCCGCGGGTTCGAGACCTGCCTGGGCAGCTTGGTGAGACCTCATCTCTACAATAAATCAAACAAAAAAAAAATTAGCCAGGCGGGGTAGCACGCACCTGTAGTTCCAGCTACTCAGAAGGCTGAGGCGGAAGGATCGCCGGAGCCCAGTGGCCGGGAACGGCCCCCGCACTCCAGTCTGGGCGACAGAGTGAGACTCCAACTCAAAAAAAGAAAAAGCAAGATGCTGACTACAGATTCTGTCGCTGGAAGTTTAAAAACACTTAACTAGAAAAAACAAGAGTGGAACAAAGGAAAGATAATTCTACTAGGCTAATACTAGCTTTTTAATAGTTTGTTTTTTTCTGTGAATAGATGTAACTTATGAGAAAAAGGTTTCCTAGGACCCACTTATCTATGGAAAAGCTTAAATGTCATAAAGACCACAAGAAAAGCAGAAGGAACTAAATGATGCAGGACAATGGACCTCATGCTAAATATGTGTTTACAGCTACAGACAAAAGTCTGGGATCTGTGAACATTCTGCCACCGTGAGGTCAGAGCTGAACCTGCACATGCTCAGCGGCCAGAACTGTCTTCCAGATGTTGAACAGAAGTCTGGGTGGGTCCGGTCACATAAAAAACATGCAGAGGCATCCCTTGCCTGAGGCTTACTCAGTTTCCCTGCTCCTCTCTGTGAGCCCAAGTATGTGTTCTCATCACCAAGGTACCTGCATCTCTGGCCCATAAGGGGCAGTCAGGACCAGCAGCGGGACCAGCTGAATCCTCTCATTGGGAACCCTGGCTGACAGGCTGACTCCCCAGATTTTTTAAGTGCTAATATGTCACTGAGAGGTACATCCTTTCTGTACCATGATTCTGTCACCATCTGTGCACAGACTCGGCTGCTGGGACTGGAAAACACTGTCAGCAAATGTTTGTTTGAGTGCTTAAAATGTGACTAATCTAACCTACAAGACTCACAGTCTAATGGGCTTATGTTTTGAACTAAGTGACTGGAAGACAAACATTAGTAAACTAGCTGATTTTAGGAAATCTAGTGGTAATAGCTTATAATGGGCAATCCACACAGCCATTGGTTAGAGAAGTTTGGTCTGGAACATTTGTGTACCACATACTAGTATTTTCATGTTACCATGCCATTGAAGGATGCCCAGTCTTTGTTTCTTCACATGTAAAACGTGTCCTGTTAACAAGCCAGTGACGGTTAAGTCTGAATGGGCTCAGCACACACTAACAAACATCTGCACCCTCTCCCTTCTGAGTTGCAGGGGAGTACAGTGATCAGGGAGCCACGCTTCACATCATACTTGTATTCTACCTTCCAGGTATGTTCCCTGGGGTCACGCTAGGATTCTAACAGCACGGCATTTAGGGTCACGCGTAAAACAAGAGGAACAGCAACGGCGGGAAGGAGCATCTGAAATACCTTCTGCTGTGAGGATGGCCCGAGGGACAGCGGGGACTGCGACCTCTTGGGTTGACGGCCTGCACCATCAGCCGTCCAGTACAACTGACACGGCCCTGTCAGAGACATCAGGAGAGAGATGACACACTACAAAACACGGTCAGCCATTCAGCACTGTCACATCTACTGACCTCTTCTCTGTGAGACCTGTACAGTAATGGCCTTTCCTACCAGTCCCTTGAGGAAACACACTTTCCCTGCGCTAAGCTCCTTGGAAAACTATAGTTACTTACAGAACTCAGGCAACAAGTCCCTTTTCTGAACTGTTAAATAAGCCTCAAGGTTTTATCTAGGATGACACTCCTCACTGAATGACATTCCTCACTGAATTCACTGTAATCTGTTAAGGTCGACAGACTCCGTGATGTTGAGTTGTAAAACACAGAGCAGGAGTGAGCAAGACGTCGCTCTCCTATGATGATGCCGTGCTCATAGGAGGTATCTACTGGTTGCAGGCAATTCTGACATCAAAACTAGATGATTTTTGTTTTCTGTCAGGTTTTTCTAATAATATACAGAGGGTGCCAAAAAATGTATACACATATATATATTTTTTAAGTCAGAGTCTCACTCTTTCGCCCAGGCAGGAGTGGAGTGGCAGGCTCACGGCCACCACAGCCCCGACCTGCTGGGCTCAGGTGAGGCTTCCGCCTCAGTCTTCCAAGTAGCTGGAACTACATACGCACGCCACCATGGCTGACAAATTGTTTGATTTATTGTAGAGACGAGGTCTCACCATGTTGCCCAAACTGGTCTCGAAACCTGAGCTCAGGCAATCCCCTCGACTCCACCTCCCAAAGTGCTGGGATTACAAGCCACCATGCCCAAGTACATGTACACGTTTTAGAAAGTGTATTAAAGTTGTAATACTCAGTATATACTGATATATATATACACACTCTATATACAGATAGCATTTTCAGATGCCATGACTCTTCTCCCTTGATAACAAAAGATGAATAAAAGCCATGTTTGACTTTTGCAATTACACATTGCTACTGTTAATTCAATTCTACTTCGAAAAGTAATACATAGGCAATAACATCACTTAAAATGTGTATACATTTTTGGCACCCCCCCCCATGTTTATGAAATGCTAGTGGCATCCCTTTCCCAAACCTTGTAAGAGAAAAGAAAGCATGATAAAATGAGCATTCTGGAAGGATGCAGGGGTGACAAGGAGAGCTCTGTGATTAAACGACACCATATCTTCATGAAATGAACATATTGAGATAAAAGCAGAAGCAGTTAAATACCTAAAATATGTGGAGATGTGGGTCCTGTGATAAGGGCCTATGTAAGGCAAAGTGCTGTTTGATTTCTTAACTCTGTCAACTGAATTCGATGGGGGACACAGGGAAAGCCTGAGGTTGGCCAGTAGACAGAAAATTACAGCTAGATGGGAGGAAAAAATCCTAGTGCCCATAGCTCTGTAGAATGGCTACAAGTAAAAATTTATTGCATATTTTCAAATGGCTAGAAAAGCAGATGTTTAGTGTTCCCACCTCAAATGACGAAGGCTTGCAGTGGTGGATGTGCGGATTACCCTGGCTCGATCATGACACTTTGCGTTCATATACTGAAGTACCACACTGGACCCCAGCGATGTGCACGATCACGTGTCAGTTAAAAGTAACAAAAGAACCGTCTAAACGCTGTTAGCTATGGGTGGACGACAGTAATTCCTAGGGGACTCAGGACACGGCGGGTACGCCGTTGCTTTGGCTTTTGTTCCAGCACCCCTCCTCGGGCTTTTCGCGTCACGGCCGAGGCTTCCGCTTCCACTGTCTCCCCCGCTCCGAAGAACACGAGGCGGCCCGCCCAGGTTCTGA